CGGGCCTGAGCCTGGGGGAAGGCAGGGTTTCCGCTGCCGCCTTCGAGGTGTAAACGCACCCGCAGGGCAGCCTGAGGTTTGCGTAACCGGAGACTCGCCAGTGGAGATGCCGTGGGTGTGTCCACACTCCAGGGACACCTTACTGTACCAGCGGTGATGTTTGAAGGCGGGAGGAGGGAGATCAGTTAGGATGCCCTGTTGTCTCATGACGACTTTTAACGCGGTATTTCCAAAGCTGAGAGGAAGTTCAGAAGTGAATGTGAGAGCAGTAGCTAACCGGGAAGTTTCGACATCACGGAGGTGGTGAAGAATCCTCTGTTTTAACCAAAACAGAAAGGTCCTCTCTGCAGGTCTGGTTTCTCTAGCAGTGGTTCTCAACCTTCTGGCCCTTTAAATACAGTTCCTCATGTGGTGACCCCCAACCATAAAATTATTTTCGTTGCTACTTCAAAACTAATGTTGCTACTGTTATGAATCGTAATGTAAATATCAGATATGCAGGATGGTCTTAGGCGGTCCCTGTGAAAGGGTCCTTCGACTACCAAAGGGGTCGCGACCCACAGGTTGAGAACCGCTGCAGGTAAAATGTAGGGGAAAGTAATTATTTTGCAACTTCCTTAACAGAATCCATTTTTAACCTAAATTCTACACACAGCCCTACATGAACACAAAACAATGAATGACTTCGGTTGCTTGCCTTTTACTTAGTGTTTATATATATTTTTGTTTTATTTACGGGAACCAACACCGTCCTTTGCTGAACCCTAGAAGTGTGATCGAAGAGCCGCAGAGTGTGCAGGACTGTTTGAAAACACGGTGCTGTTAAGAGAGCTGCAACCAGATTGTTTTTAAAAAGTTGTCATAGCCGTGATCTTACTGGACCTGCACAGCTTTTCGTCTCAGTTTATATCTCCGTTGTAAAGAGGGAGAGAGGAACGAGCCGCCCTTGGATCATGTAGCTGTGGTTCTTAAGCCCCCTCTTGAGCAGTATAATACCAGAAAACCCTAAGAGGCCAGAAAAATCAGGTGGCCTTCAGGCAGTGCCACTTCTACCAGGGCATTGCTGCGTTAGTAGCTGACCTGGTGGTACCTCTTAGCTCCGAAGCTAATTAGGTGCCCATTTCGACATTCATTGAACTGCACGAATGGTAAGCACCTACCATGAGGTGCTCTGTGTTCTGTGGATACAGCAGTGAGCCAGACAGACTATCCCTTCTCTCATGAAGCCCATTGTTGGGGGGGAAAGGGGGCGGGGACCAACAAATGATAAATAAAGTATATAGCATGCTATAGGAATATAGAAATACGGAGCGTGCTTTGAGTGCTAAGGAAAGGAATAGGATTTGTATGTGAGATGGAGGTGGTAAAATCTTCCCCGGGATGGCCCCACTGAGAGGGTGACATCTGAGTGAGGAAGTGGGTGATGCAAATATCTGGGAAAAGAATATTCCAAGCAGAGGAAAAGCAGAAGCCTGAAGGTGAGAGCATGTCTGACAGGTTCACAGAATTTCACATAGGCCAGTGTGGCCGAAACCACTTAAGGGATGGGGAGAATCAAAGCCCATTGGGTCAGAGAGTTCACAGATTGGGGGTATAACAGACCAAATTGTGTAGGACTTCTTAGGCTATTGGAAGGACTTTGATTTGTACCCTGAGTGGGATAGGCTATTAGTCAACTTGGGCTGCCCTACCAAAATACCGTAGACTGGGTGACTTAAACAGAAATTTATTTTCTTGCAGTTTTGAAATGATATTGGCATGCCATCATGGCCAGGTTTTGGTGAGTGGAGAATGCCACCTTCACATTTGGTCACATGTTGAAGAGAGAACTCTGGTGTCTCTTCTTGTAAAGGCACCTGTTCTCTCTGATCAGGGCTCCACCCTATGATCTCAATTAATCTTAATTACCTCCTTAAAGACACATAGGTTAGGGCTTCAATATATGGATTTGGGTGTCTCCCCCTCCCATCCCTGGCAGATGGCAAGTTATCCTGAGTAGAGGAATGGCATGATTTGACATAGACTTAAATGATCAGTCTAGCTGCCTTGTAAATATACAAGGGAGTAAGGGGTGGGGACAAAGAGGGAAGCAAGGAGATGTGTTAAGAGGTAATACAAAAGTTCAGGAAGTGGTGGTGTGGCTTTGACCACAATGGGTAGCAGTGAGAATGTTTGGAAAGTGGTTGAATTCTGAGGGGGCAATAGAATTTGCTGATGAATATAGAGTATGAATAAGAATCCAAGGGTTTGGGGTCTTAGCATCTAGGAAAATGGTGGTGTTGTTTTCTTGGATAAGGAGATGTGAATGGAGCAACCTTGGGTAGTAAGAATACCGGGAGTTCAGTCTGAGATGTCTGTTGGAGAAAACAAATAAATGCGTAGTAATAATAATAAACAGTCACTCAAAAATGTGTAAGTGCAGCCGTAACCGGTTTGGCTCAGTGGATAGAGCGTCGGCCTGCGGACTGAAAGGTCCCACGTTCGATTCTGATCAAGGGCATGTACCTTGGTTGCGGGCACATCCCCAGTGGGGAGTGTGCAGGAGGCAGCTGATCGATGTTTCTCTCACATTGATATTTCTGACTCTATCCCTCTCCCTTCCTCTCTGTAAAAAATCAATAAAATATAAAATAAAATAAAAAAATATGTAAGTGCAAACTGAGAAGTTCTAGGACAGGCTCAGCTGGTGTGGCTCAGTTGTTGAGCATTGACCTATGAACCAGGAGCATCTTTAGATTCCAGCTCAGGGCACATGCCCATGTAATGGGTTCCAGCCCCTATCTTTTCATGCTTATTCTTGCTCCTTTCCAATCTTTTCCCCACAAAATAACCAGAGACTGTTAATAAATGTAAATCTGATCATGGGCCTCTCTATCTCCCTGGAAACCCATTAATGGTTTTATAGGGCTTTTAGAATAGACAGACTCATTAATCTCTTACCATGGTACAATGAGAATGTAAAATAGAGGGACCAAACTTAGAAAGGAAGTGACCTTTCAGCTGAAGTCTGAAGGTTGATTGGGATTAAACTAATTTGCAGGAGAGTTTCAAAAAAGGGAAACATTGTGGACAAAAGCCCTCTTGGAGTGAACATGACCCGTCTAGGGAGCTTGAAGCCAGTTTGGTTAAAGCATAGTGATTAAGGGGCAAGAGTGGTAAGAGATGAATGAGTCTGTCTATTCTAGAACTTTAAAAAAATGTATACTTTTTTTTATTGATTTCAGAGAGGGAGAGGCAGAGATAGAAACATTAACGATGAGAGAGAATCACTGATTGGCTGCCTCCTGCATGCCTCCTATGTGCTCAAAGGGGAAATTTGTATAAGAGAGTACATATGTGGGGGACTTCTGCAAATAGATAACTGACACCATGGACATGTCGACATAAGAAAAATGCAAACCTATAGATAATTTTTTTTACTAGTTTATTGAGCCAACCTGATGACGTATGCCAGGGAGCAAGCTCTCAAATGCTCCATAGAAATGCAGTTTTGCAGCTTATTTATGCATTTGAAATTAAGGAGGGAATGTAAGAAAGATCACATGGAGGTGGAAGAAAGCAAGGTGGGGATTGGATTACAGGATAGTTAACAAGAAAATGTGCTCTCTGAAGGATCGTGTATTTCAAAGGTGTGTTAATCTAGACCAGTGGTTCTCAACCTTCCTAATGCCGCGACCCTTTAATACAGTTCTTATGTTGTGGTGACCCCCAACCATAAAATTATTTTCGTTGCTACTTCATAACTGTGATTTTGCTAGTGTTATGAATCGTAATGTAAATAACTGATGTGCAGGATGTATTTTCATTATTACAAATTGAACATAATTAAAGCATAGTGATTAATCACAAAAACAATATGTAATTATGTATGTGTTTTCCGATGGTCTTAGGAGACCCCTGTGAAAGGGTTGTTCGACCCCCAAAGGAGTCGCGACCCACAGGTTGAGAACCGCTGATCTGGACACACAGAAACAATGGACAGGGCTTGCTTAAGGCAAAGATAAAACTTCTACTAAAATAATATATGCCAGGGGCATGACTACCCACCATGACCTGCCCAGTTAGGAATTTATGATCAGATCACCCTTGAGGTAAATTTCCACAGAACCCCTTTTTTTTCACCCACAGACATGAATGGGACCACTCGGGGATGGTGTGGAGCAGCACTATACAATAGAACTTCCTGTGATGATGGGAATCCTGCCCTGTATGATAGCCACGAGCCACCTGTGGCTATTGAGCACTTGAAATGCCTAGTGCAACCAAGGAAATGAATTTTTAATTTAAATGTAACTTTATTAAGTTTATTAAAGAGCCCTATGGGCTAGAGGCTGCCATATCTAGCAACTTAGGTATAGAGTTCAAAAGATGGCCTAGGGCCCAGCGTTATATAATTCCTGAGGGAAGAAAAAAAAAAACCAGATGAAGGCATTTTCAAAGTAGGATTAGCTGTGTTAAAAAGGGCCAAGAGGTGGGGAAAGATGAGAGGTGAATATAGTATATTGACTTTATTAACATGTATTGTGCAATATCATAGGAGGGTAATGAGAGGGAGAGCAAGTGTTCCAGGAGATATAATCAAAATATATATGTGAAACTCACAGAAACACTTTAGGAGAGGTCTCCTTTTAGTTTATTGTCAGCAAACATTTGGTTATTAGTTTCACCATGTGTCCATTTAGGCACTAGCCTTGAGGAGAACGGACTCATTGTTAGTGCCATGATGAAGTACCCAGGTCATTTTGCTCATTTTCCTTTTTTGTCAAAAAGTCAGCCTTTGGCAATATTTGTTTCAATGCACTTAGTACTATGTATTGAATGTACTTAGAATTTTATAACTAGAAAGGACTTTAATTTCACAAATGCTAAAAGAGATATAAGTTATATTAGACCTACATATCTTTAGCATTAGAACATATGAGAACTATGTAGAATCTTTGAAATCAGTTCTTTTGTTTTCCAGTGAGTTTAATGTGCTATGCTTACATTGTACCTGGTTATGGTTTTCCCTTTTTAGTAGCATACAGATTGGGTCAATGGTATTTCCATTAGGAAATAAAGTGATTATACTATCATAGAAAAAAAGTTACTGAGAGAAGCTTGTTTATTCTTCGTCATAATTTTGTTCACTTGCCTAAGTTCCAATTACATTCTTCTTTAATCAAAAATATTATAAACATTTTAAAGTCAGTCATGTAATTAAGTAA